TGGACTTTCAGAGTTTGGCTGAACTGTGACCTTGTGTGAGCTAGATTGTGACTCATCTGAGGTCAGTTTGCTCAGCCAGCAGATGACTGTGGTAACTTGAGTCAAGTGGATATGGAAATGGTTCCTTCCTCTACATCCTTAAGGGACCAGAGCATATTATCCCGTACGTTCCAAAACGGAGGAGCGGAAGCAGTGGAAAAAGAGATAAAAGCACAGACGCCGTAACTGCAGACTCAGCAAGTCTGGCCTGCACAGTTCTGGCATTGGAGCATGGCCCTGGGTCTGTGGGTAGCCATGAACACTGTTCTTCCTGGCAGCTCTTAAAGGGGTCCTTTGCCAGAAATAAAAATAATCATGAAGTTGGGTGTGATGGCACAGCACTGGGGTAGACTGGCTGTTTCAGGGTAATGAATGTCACACGCATGATAAGAACGGATTCCTGAATGGTTTTGAAATCTCGGGTCCTGAGTCTTAGAGATACTTCACTTGGAAAAACACAAGGAGATTCAGGCACAGGACTTAAAAGGGGGTGAAGAGCTGGGTGGAGGGATGTGAGGTGTTGCACCGGATATTTAGCACCATCTGGACATGACCAGCACTTAAAGGAAGCAATATTCCCACCATTTGTCAGCCTGTGAGTATCACACCTCGTGGAGGACCCCTAAGGTGTGGCTTCACACCTCCTGTTCCCACCACTGACTGACACAGCTCACAACAGCTGAAGATCAATATATAACCACATCTCAATGTTTCCATTGATTTAGCAGACCTCTCAGCCATTAATTTAGGTCCAATCCTCATCCTGGACATGGGCAGGATGGGCCCAACTAAAGAAGACAATCACCATTAGTTTTTCTACCATTTACAGGTAATACAGGAAAAAGAAGTAAACAAGCAAACAAATAACAAAAACAGAGCCAGAAGTGTAGACTGCCCAGGTCCTGATGGATAGTCAGGATTCTGACTCCAGCAAGACTGGCAACTAACATAGGGGCTCCTGAGGATGAGTTAGCATGGGACCATGGAAAATGTCTTAAGTGGGAAGTGAGGGGGTCACAGCATGTAAAAAAGGCATATCTCTAAATAAATTCGGTAGTATGAGAATTTTATATGCTGAGACATGAGCAAGGTCCTAAGCTACTCTCAAAAGCTTGTTAATTAAGACTGAAACAGAGAGATTGGAGGCCCCTGTGCCCACTGCCCCTACATCACCTACCCTACCCTCTGCTCTGACTGGGGTTTCCTGAACCTCATAACCTGAGGACTGGCCTTAGCATTACAGCCCTCCACTCTGAGTCTGTGGACTGTAGCACTTTCTTGCTGATCCTGCATTTTGCTGGGCTATTTTCGTCTCCCTGCCAAGCTACTGGGAAGGTTTTAAGATTACATTTTAAGATTTTCAGATTACAAATTTCATTTCTGGGATTCAGAGGAACTGTCAGTGAACCAGCCAGAGAGTGACTGCTAAGCAGCTAAGCCCAGCCCAGCAAATCTCTACAAAGACAAGGCTGCCAGCTGAGGACTAGCACTCCCTTGCCTCCTTCACAGGGGAGTGAGTTCCAGGTTTTCTGGGCTAAGTTTCAGACCATCCTCTTAAGTGGAATGAGTAACACTGTCTTGGGGTTATTCAAAGTCCTGAGCAATTAATGACTGCAAAAAGCTTTGAAAATATGTAAGCTTTCCGAAAAGGTGGCATTTAATATTTATAATGGCAAGTCTATGCTTATAAGGCTCCATAAAGTATAACCATTGGTTGGCGCAGAACTTAGCTTTATGGCTAGCTTTTTTGAACTGAACATATTTCATTTTCAATCAATTAATTGATGTGTCAAAGGGGATGTCCTGTATCCATACAGGGTCTTATTTGGAGAACTTCTGATGTAACCAGAGACTTATCTTAATCGGCCCCAGTCAATTCACACGGACACTCTATAATCCAGACATAGCCCACAGAAAAACTGGTTCCAGGCCCTCTAAAGTCAAAACTCTGGAGGTACCACAGTGATTTAGTTTCACTAAAATTACTTAGTAGGGCTATAAACCAAACCACAGACACTCCCTTTTATCCAATGTAAGGAATTTTCTTTGTTAGTCCCTAAAAGCCAATCCCACATGGGCACCAAGCTTTGGCAGCCCTGTTGGCTGACTGAGTGTGGTGTTAAGGTGTGAATTCAGACTGCAGCTGGGGAGAGCGAGTGGTTAGAAGCCAGTCTCCACTGCAAGTCTGCGCCTCCTCCTTCTCTGCAAAGCTCAATCCTGTTCCTTTAGACAAAGGGTTCCCCTCCCCCATCAGCAGTATGGTGATTGGTGGTTGGTTAATGGTGACCTTGGTACCTCCCTCATTCTCCTGTCACCACCACTGGCCATGCTGATGTCTTCCCCCCAAGGGATTAATTCACACAATACAACCCCAATCTTTCCTCATGAAGATGGAAATGATTTTTAGACTGTGATTATTCATGCCTTTCATCAATACAGAATTAAACGAATGGAAGGCCGAGCCTTCAAGTGAACGCAATGCTCCATAGCACCAGTGGCCAGGTGCCAGTGGTCACTCCCTACTCTTGTCACCTTGCATCTACTTCTCTGTGGCCAGATGAAAAGGAAAGAATTCATTTTCCTGGAGTCACAGGAGTTCACAGGAGATATCTTCCCACACAGCTGCCAGATTACTTAATGAAGAGTGCCACCCTGTGTCTGACTATAGAAAACACAACCAGGAAATGGACCTAGGAAGTTCTATAATGGGATCCAGCATCATTGTGTTCCAAGGTGACTTCTCCTTAACATGGGTTCTTCCTGAGATCCCTCAAAAAGCTAAGCTAGAAAGAAGCCCCGCTAACATTCCAGTTAGAAGCACAGACCACGGTGAGAATGCATACTTCCACCGATGATCCTGTTGGGATACATACTTTTAGCAAACTCCAGAATGGTTAACAAGAGTGCTACCTATGCCAGGTTCAGATCCACAGGTAAAGGACACACCTGGCAAAACCAAAAGCTACTCTCAGCTGGGACTTCAGGTGAGGACTTAAGGCTAGCCACTGTTTTCCCAACGGTTAATTCATCTAAGTTCGTGAATAGCTGGAATGTTAGGCACATACAGTGAAGATATGCACATACCAACATACACACATCACACATACACAGCCCAATGGGACAGAATACAAATCACTTCCTGTCATCATCCATGAGGAACAACAAAAGCCAGTGTCTGTTGATACTGTAGGGACAGATTAAAGCATCTGCTGCATCGCTTTCCCTTCCTTCATGTCAGTCAAATGAGGTATGCACATCAACACTTCGCAGATGAAGACAAGCTCTCAAGGTTAAGGAGCTTGCCCACAAGCCTGGTAAAATATAGAGCCAGGATCTTCCTCTGAGCATGCTCACTTTTCCAGCATTTCTGCATTGCCAACCTTCTGGCTGACCTCTGTGCTTGTTTCCATTTCTAGGGGGACTCTTGAAATGATTAGTATCTTCTAGAGGCCACTGGCAGAGATCCACTCACAGGAGTTGAGGAATCTCTTGATCCAGGATCGAACAAGGCCTTAGAACACCAACCTAGAACTTACAGCTCATCTCTTCCAGTTGCTTCTAGCTGCTGAACTACCTAGAGAGTTTTGGAGTGGTGTCCACCCAAACAGGCTTGTCCTGCTGGAACAGGGAGACAGTGCCTAGGACTACATGCTGAAAAACAGTCATTCAGTTTCTTTTATTAACTATCTTTTAGAACCTCTGTGTGTGCTTCTCTTGTATGTGTCCTCTTGTTTGTTATTTCCTTCATAGAGCTTGTTAGCCCTGAGCATATGTGTACTTCAGGGCAGGGTGGGCCTTGTTTGCAAGTACCCTTGGCAATAGGCTTGTGTAGGTAGCATCTTCAATCAACAGTTGTTCAGAATCTTGAATCTGTCCACATATCATGCAACTGCTTCCTCTCCTAATGACGTGTAGGAGAAAGCAAGTCTCTAAACTTCTATCACCTGGCCTCACACATCACCACAATATGTGTTTAAATGTGCTAGATGCAAAGTCTTTTCTTGTGTGTGGAAACACTTTGATGACAATTCTGACAGAAAGTACACACACACACACCCCTTTTATTTTATCTTTTTTTTTTTAAGGTGGAGGGGGTGTGGGTGGTCTCCTTACATCTACTAGGCTGGTCACAATCTTGTGATCCTCCTGTTTCTGACTTTCAGGTGCTGGATTACAGGCATGTACTACTACACCTAAGTGATATCTTTTTTTAGGAAAGTGAAAGGCAACATAGAGCTCGTGGTAAACATTTTAAAAATCATCTAATTAACAAAGCAGGTTCAGAGGCAAGTACTGATAGTTTGTGCTGAAGTGTGAAGAGGGTTAGTTAATTTCAAAAGACAGAGCTACCACATAGTAAAGATTGCTGGCCTTGCCCTTTTGGAATGGGTATCAACTTCCACACTACAGAAACAGAACAGACATCATGTGCTTCTTGCCGCTATGCAACAAGAGACGATACACAGAAAGGCAGATATATCCTTGGAGTGGCGGGCTGAGGAAAGGCGTGTACATGAGCTATGTATCCATGATGTGATGCAGGACATGTCTTTCTGTATGTGGATTACATTCTCCTTAAGTGATGCAATGCAGGACACAGGATCCTGTGCTCTTGATGTGACACACAAGGACAGGTCATTATGCATGAGAACCGGATGCCCTTGGAGTGATGTAGAGCCTATGTCTGTGGACCATGTGTGTTGTATGTGACTCACTGAAGATATGGCACCAGGTAGGTATTGTTCCTTTAAAAGATAAGGTGTTAAATCTTCGGGAACAATTAAATCCTAAGTGATGAACAGCAACCTGGCATTTTTACTTTCATCCAGAGGTTGACTGTGTGTTGGGGGCTGGGGGGGGATAAAATTCAATGGCACAGTCAGGATGTGCAGCTGCCACCAAGCACCCCCAAGGTCTCCTCTATAGCTCAGTGTCACAACCAAAAATAGTCTGACTCGTGATTTCTTTGTCAGCTTGTATCAACTTTATTTGTGTTTTTTTTGGCTAAATGTATTAACATTTGTTTCTTCTCACTGAAAGTCCAAATTCTCAACAAAACTGCATGTGTAAGACTGATGGCTTCATTCCACTTGTTCTTCTCTTGGCTGGTATAGGCCACTAGGTTCTCAGTGTATTGTAGGACCAATTTTAAGAACCTGTTAAAAAGACAGTGAGGAATGTCAGCTTCTTTGTCTGTTCTATTATAGAATCTAGCAGTGTACATGTTTTGTCTTCTCTTGAAATATTCCTAAAGATTACTCAGCTGTGTCTGGATTCAAGAAGAAGAAATGCATGCAAAATGAAAATAAGAGAAACTGTTAGAGAAAGGACAGAACACTGGGGCCAGTGCGCTCCACACTGGATGGGTCTCATAAGACTCCAGATTGATTTCACACTCTCAGATCTTGACATGTTTCTAAGCGATGAAGCACTGTTCTGAAGACTGCAGGACCATCATGCTCAGACTGACAGAGGACGGACACACGGTGAAAGAAGGTCCTTCCCACAAGTCCCTCTGGTACTCAGGCTGCATCACTTCGCTTTCTTCCCTCTGTGTTGACGTGTCTCTCTGAAGAGAAACACCATTACTATGAAACACTTGCTACTGCTAAATCCAGTTTTCCTTAAAGATATCCCTTAGGATGGCAGCAGGTTTCAACTGATTATGATACACAACATTTTTACATTTTCAGGTTTATCCTCAGTTTCCCGAGTACTATAGACTTTCCTGTACTTTTTTACATTTTTTATGATGATACGCTAGGAGTGGATCCCACAGAGCCTGTCTGAGAAGTGGCTCTCTGGAAGGTCTATTCCACAGGGACACTGGAAGGCTGCTACTAGCTTGTAGCCAGATGCCATGGGTGACAGTATCATACAGTACACAGAGAAGATACAGAGCAAGCACCACTGGTGCTAAGGCTGAGTACCCCAATGTAGTCACCAGTGGTGCTAAGGCTGAGTACCCCAATGCAGTCACCAGTGGTGCTAAGGCTGAGTACCCCGATGTAGTCACCAGTGGTGCTAAGGCTGAGTGCCCCAATGTAGTCATCACTGGTGCTAAGGCTGAGTACCTCAATGTAGTCATCACTGGTGCTAAGGCTGAGTACCTCAATGTAGTCATCACTGGTGCTAAGGCTGAGTACCCCAATGTAGTCATCACTAGTGCTAAGGCTGAGTACCCCAGTGTAGTCACCAGCCTTGCACACACTCGGCAAGGCTCTATTTATCCATCCATGTCCTACTTTCATTTCTCTTGCTGTGATAAAATAACCTGACAACAAGCAACATAGGGGAAGAAGAGCCTATTTGGCTCAGACAGTCCATCACTGCAGGGAAGTCACAGTGGCAGGAGACTGAGATAGCTCGTCATACTCTATCCAAAGTCAACAGTAAAGAGAAACAAATGTATGTATGTAGCCTGTTTGCTGGGTACTCAGCTAGTCCTCTCTCTCCTCTTATACAGTTCATGGTCAAAACCAGGGAACGGTGCCACCTACATGGGCTGGGCCCTCTCACATCAATTAACAATCAAGACAATTCCGACAGACATGCCCACAGGCCAACCTGATCCAGAAAATTCTTCAACTGACACTTGAGACACCAGGTCTGTCAAGTTGACAATGAAAACTAACCAGTACAGAACAGGTGAGATGGTTCAGTAGGCACAGCGCTCACCACGCAAGCCTGGTGACCTGGGTTCAATCCTTGGAGCTCATGGAAAGGTGGAAGGAGGGACTGGACTGCAGAGTTGTCCTTTGACTTTCACCATTCCCCATCTCACAGCCCCCCTTCCCTAGAATAATTTAAAACTATCGCTTTTAATACTAGAATTTAGAAAGCAGAGGCAGGCTGACTTCTGTGAGTTCAAGGCCAGCCTGGTCTACATAGTAAGTTCGGGCCAGTTAGGGCAACCCTGTCTAAAACACACACACACACACACACACACACACACCCCTCTCACACACATCTTACTTAAATCCATAAGATGCTGCAATATGTAAGGACTCCTATCCCCTGCCAAGTATTGCCTGTAGGCAGCTAATATATGAAAAACTTGTGGACATGGATGATGGCTATGTCACAGAGTTATAGTCAACTGACTGTAACACACCTTTTGTACAGCCCTGTCAAAGGGGTGTCATGAGCACTGGGATCTCTGCATGTGGAGTGGTCTGCATAAAAGAGTATCCTACTTTCAGATTCCTTAGATCTGGATGTGGCTGTAAAGTAGAATTCTTAAGCTGTGAGTCACTTGGATGTGGTAGGATTTGCCTCATGGCTGTGACTTCAAGACCCTCCTGCTAGACCACCTCCACAGTCTTCACTCAGCTTGCATCTGGGCACAGAACTACAGCCTGGCAAGTTGAGAGGGTTCACAAGTGAACTCAGTTTAATTTTGTGATCCACAAACTTAGTATCCAGTTGTACAGAGAAGACAAGCTAAAGACCAAGGAGAATCTTTGGGGATTAAAAAAAAAAAATCACCAAAGGAACAGCCAAGAGGAGTCAAAATTTCTTAAAATCACCTCATACTGTGTCCTTTCTCCTGAGCAGGTGTACTTTACCTCAGATACTGCTGTTGTTCCTGAGCGCCTTTGCCATGAACAGCATGAACACTGACCAATTCCAGCGCAAGGAGCAACAAAATCAGGGAAAGCATAGGACACAAAAGTCCAACACTGAAAAAGAAGGAAAACAGGTCAAGGTTTTGACAAAGTTCTTTCCATTTTCATAAGGAAAAACAGTGTGTCACCTAATTGAGACATTTTTATGTTATTACAAAATTCATACAACATATTTTGATCATGCCTTTTCCCTTTCCCAAATGTTCCAAATCCTACCCACCTCCCTACATACCAGCTTTATGTCTGTAAACATGCTTGTTCTCTCTCTCTCTGTAACACACACACACACACACACACACACACACACACACACAGCACACACAAAACCACAAAAACCAAAAATCAAAAAAATCCCAAACAGATAGAAAGACAAAGGGAAAAAAAGCCAAAAACAAAACAAAACAAAATATGGAGTTGTTTTGTCAATGCCTTTAAATCCAAACATCCGGGAAGATGGTTTATCAGTCTTTTATCCTTGCTGGCCTCGCCTGGCCCAGTCCCTACCTTTCAAGCCTATAGGGTATGTAGCCCAGTCCCTTCTTGTCCTTCACATTCAGGTCACAAAGTGCCTCGACTCCCTGGCAGCAGCAACTGCTTTTAGTCTGGCTCGGTCCCAGCTACCTCAGAATCACTCCACCAGGTGAGCCCTAGCCTGGGCTGGGTCCTGCCCTGTGCCCCCAGCACCTTCCTTGGCAGATCACCCAGTAAAGGGTTTTCACAACAGAAGAAAGTCTGTTTAACTTTGCCAGATTCCAAGAAATTCCATTTACAGCCAACCTCATTTTTCCCATGAGACCAGCAGAGAGATGCTTAAAAATACTTCACTCCATTTTGGGAGGGGGACGTACCAGTATTCCATTTATACTGCATGAGTGCATAATGAGAAACTTCTGGAAGGCAATGTACATGTATGTGCTATGATAGGCCTAGAAACACCAACCATTCAACCCAAAGTTCTAGAAATGTGTCCCAAGCAGCTGTTTCTAAAGAAAATGTGAAGAACAGGAGTGCCAGCAAATCCCAGTGAACAGCTCTAGGGCTTAAACCCGAACGATCATTTTGGGTGGTAGGACCCACACCAAAAGGCCAAATTTAAAAGTTCTATAAAACAGTATACACCGTAAGGAAATGGCATACCTGCTGAGCATGCGCACATAGTTCTGACGTTGCCTTGAGCGCAACCTACGCTCCACCCATTGCCTGTGTCTCAGCTGCAAAGAGGCAATGACCTGGTCAGACACGCGCTGGCACTGGGAACTGATGCCTCGGAGCACAACCAGAACTTCTAGAATGATTCTGGGGCAGAACAGTGTAGGAATGCGTGTGCTACAGAGTTCAGTTAGCAGCTGTGACCACCTGCAAATGACAGCGTGACAATGGAGGCACACAGTACCAGAGAATGCCACTTCCAGCTCTTTTTTTCCTGAATCTGAAGTGGAACCTCAGCAAGTGACCAGCAGGTAAAATGGAACTGCAGTGAGCAAAGTGCACTCGTGTGACTTCACTAGACATGTGGTACTGCACAGAGATCACCTAACCTCACTTGAGGACCCTGTTTGGGGCACAATACCAAAGTGCTGGAATTGAGAATAGAAACAATAAGTCTGCTATCATAAACTCTCCAGTTAATGTTTCTTCAGTACTCACTTCTCCGAGGGAAGCCCATCCAAGCCATTGATAGCACAGGCACTCCCAGGCAGATAGTGGCAGAGCTCACACAAAATCTTGCTAATTAAAGAGTTGCAGGCACATGCTTCAGAATTACCTTCCAATCTGAAGAACACACAATGTTTAAAGGTATTTTCCAATAGTTACAACTCCCTCATTATTGATAACACAACCTTCATCTAAAAGTTGGTTTCCCCAACATAAAGGAAAATAGGTACCATGACAGGATAAAATGAAAGCTATGATATGCTGGAAGCACAGCATGACGCAGACGGCACGATGCAGACAGCATGACACAGACGGAAGGTGATCTGTGGCTCGCCTCAGATTAACCCTACTACAAGTGTGTCTGCTCTATTCTACACTCCCCAAATCTGGATCCCTACTCCTCTTGTTCCTGAGTCCAGACCTTCATCGTGTCTGCTGAGCCGTGGTTGAAGGGTGCCTATCTTCCTGTCTGTGCTCAACAGCCAACAAGCTGGGCCCCACAGTTCCCTTTCCAAAGGCTTTCTAACAGCTCTGTACGTTTCTCACTACAACAGCCAGGCATGGTGTACACAACCCAGGTGACATGTGCAACAGCTTAGATGACACAGACGCCAGACCAGGTAACTCACCTGGCTGCTGGCTGACAACACTCTTCTGGCAAAGGCGGCACAGGCCACATCCTGAGGCTTCTCTCACAGTTCAGCACCTGAGAGGAAAGATTTGACTGCTCTAGGTTTTACAATATCCCAGAAAGGATGTTTTCAGCTGTCACAGATATTGAATCACTTTCTAGAAAATATTTGTAAAACAGTTACAGGCTGCATATCTGAAAACCATATGGCAAGCTCAAGTATTTCACATGTTCAGTTGAGGAACAGTTCATACTACTGCTGAGCCTGTGATTATGAACATGTTTGCAACATGACCCCCTCAGCTAAGAGGCAGCCTACCTCCCCTCCTCAAAGCTGTGTGACTAGCTTTAGCAACTGTAGTGTAAGTAAGAGCACACAGCACAGATGAGGGAGGCTTGTCAACACTGTCAACAACTTGTCAGCAGCCCCAGGAAGCCACACAACAGATCCTTCAGCAGGCTATGACCATGATAACATGAGCAAATTAAGTGGCAGCTGCGTAGGCACCACTGAATGTGGGCAATTTTCGGCAGCAGCAGTAACCAGGGCAATGATCTTACACAGCACAAGACTGCCACCAGTAGTAGATGGATAAGAGACGAGAGTCCACAATAGTCAGGGTCTGCCAGGGGCCAGAGAAGAAGACAGCAAAGGGAGACTGTCCCAGACAGGCTGGAGACTCAGCAATCAGTCCACCGTCCAGAATCTTCCCTCCTGTCCTCCCCATCTCTTTAAAATACCTGTAGGTAAGTTCTGGTATCTCTACCTTTCTAATGGTATCTTGGAAAGCAGATGCATGGGGGACACAATCCAGGTTCCTGGCCCCAAACCAGAGCCCACTGGCCCAGAGATGGAGCTGATTTGATGACCTGGCCCTTCTCACCCAACTGTTTTAGTTTCTTCCTAACTGAAATGTCCCTTTAAGAGGGAACTTCTTGGGACTTGAGAAGCTCACAGTATTTACAAGATTCAAAGTCCCTCCCCAAGGTTACAAAAGCAGAAGGCAACCGCTGGGAAGAGGGCACTCCTGGCTTAGCTGACATCAGCTGTATAAGATTGGGGGCTCTGAAGTGCATCCTTTGTGAGTTGTCTCCAATGCTGGGATGGACTTCCCAGCCATCTACAATTCCGTAACTCCCTAAAGCTCATTGGTTACTGAGGCCAATTCAGGTGGACGGTCTCTTTGCTTTGTTATGGTGCTTCTCTGGGAAGAACAGATGTTTGCTCACCTCTACCCAGAAAAGGTTTCACAATGGATGTGTTTATCAGCACTGGACAGGCCTTGGCCTCTAGGATGGCCTCTCTAGGCCTTTCCCTACAAGCACATACCAGTTTATAGCAGCCTTGTGAGGCTGTGCTCATGTGCCAGTATCTATGCAACAACTATCCTGAATGAGGTATTCATGGGGATTGTTCCCGTCCTGTCTCCTGCTGTGTAAACAAACATCTGAGGCCTGGAGAGATGGCACAGTGGTTAACATCAGTACTACTCTTGCTGAGGACCTGAGTTCAATTCCCAGCACCTGTTGTGTGGCTCACAATTCCCTCTAACTCCAGCTCTAGGAGATCAGAAGCCCCTGGCCTCCAAGGGCACCTATGCTCTCATCCGTATAATCTTTAAAAACAAAAACAAACAACCAAAACAAAAACAAAAAGTAGAAAGCATTTGAGCTAATCTCCAAATTGGAACAACATGGTAGAAAGTTTGCTTAAATTATAAGTTAATAAAAACTTGTCTTATATGGTAGAAGAAAAAATGACACCCCTTACTTGGTAAAACTTGCTTTTCTCTCTGGGTAGTGACCAGTACCACCAGCTAGCCAGGCTCCATTCTAAATACTCCATATATCATTCTTGAGACTAAAGCCCTGGGACTCTTCTGATGTATCTGAAGGAGGAGTGGTGTCCCCTCTCCCACCCCCATGCAGTGCATACCTGTTTTTGAAGCTGAAAGGCTGGGTGACAGCGAGACCTGTAACCTTCTGCAAGACTAACCAGCAACTGTATTGCTGCTTCCTCCTGGTGTAGAAACACTGATGTCAGTCGTTATGGGTCTATGCTGGGTTTTGTGCGTTCTTCTGAATCATGTCAGTTAGAGTCATAGCCTTCCACTACCTTCTTCAAAATAACTCTATTCAGCTGAAGCATGGTAAAGCTCTTCAATAAAGTAGGATGGGCCGGATAGTCAACCATAACCAACAAGCTGGTAAAATGGAGCTGACTAACCACCGTGATTTACAAAGATCACATGCACCCTGTACATAGCACAACAAAACTACAAATGTACAAGGAGAAAAAGATCCCAAAATGAATGAAAAAAAATTTTAAGGAGTGAAAATCAATACAATCAGAAGGAAATTACATGACCATAAGAAGTTAATTGCTAAACACATAAATATTACAAAAGCATAAAGTATTATGGTATATTCTAACTGATAAAAATATATAACTGAATATAATGTATAACTGATGTAAATGTGTGACTGAAAAGTCAAGTCAGCCACTGGAAACTATAAAAATGAAAAGTTGGTGAGCCAAAAGCTGGCAGAAGCCAGAAGCAGGGACTGCTGCGTTCTCAACGGCACAGAGCAAATGACTGAAACGACAGAAAACTGAAGTTCTGGGACATGTGCCAACCTTCACTCACTGACAGCTAAGTCACAGCCACGGTGTGGGCAGCGTCCTCATAGCTGTGGTGCCAAGTCTGGGGTGAGTGCTGGAACAGACAGGAGAGGGTACACACTTCTGCTCTAAGATGCTGAAGCACAGAAGGACATGACGTGTGGAAAAGGGTTTAGCTGCAGTGTTAAGAAGAGAGGAGGGGACTGACAAAGCAAGTGTCCCTCCAGGAAGTGATGATGATTTCCCCAAGTAATGGAATAACACAGAGTAAAAGATTCAAGACATATATTAAGACAGAAAACTGAGTATAGAATGTGAAAACAGGAAAGGGAGTTGTGGGAGTCTGTGAGCCGCAGAAGCCATCTTAGATGGGAGGGTGGAGTCCACATTCACCACAGGCCTGAAGTCAGGACATACTTGCTATTGATAATTTCTTTTGTCTTTAAGACAGTGTCTTATATATCCCAATCTGGTCTCAAACTCTATGTAGTTGAGGATGACCTCTGAATCCTTCTGCCTTTACCTGCTGAGTGAGAGCTGGGGTTACCTGGTTCATGCAGGCTGGGAGTCAAACCCAGGTGTTCATGTATGCTAGGTAAACACTCTTCCAGCTGAGCTCCATCCTTATTTTCTGAGTAGTGTTCAATATAGTAAAAGATTTCAGTTTCCCCATATGATTCTAGACTCTTCTCAGTTTGTTTTCTGGGTCTGTGTTTGCGTTAATGACATAGCTCACGTGGAACAGAAACAATGAGAACAGACAATTCTTTAATATCTGGAAAGCACTAAGCTGAAGACTCAGCAAAGAGCAGAGCTTTTAGCACGAGAGTCTAGGGCTGGGCCCTGGTGACACAAAAAAGAGATATCAGTTCTCCACATGACTTCTGAAAAAGCTGCTAGCCATTTCAACAAGAAGAAACATAAAGCCAGACTCTCTATCTCACTCCCCAAAGGCACTAAATTCTACTTGGAGAAAATGGTAAAAAAAAACAAAAACAAAAACAAAAACAACAAACAAACAAAAAATAAAACCACTAGGAAAATTATGAATGTAGTTATAATTTTTAGAATGCAAAAAAGCTTTCAAGAATGACATCAGAGGCAGACGCTAAGAAAAAAAGGATCCAGCGTTAAAGACAAACAACAGGCAGCACATCCCCGAAAACAGCAGGAAGGGTAGGTAATACAGCAGTGGGGAAAACACACGTGAGCACAGATGGCAAAGGAATGACAGCCATCAGTGAAGACAGAACAAAACACAGTCCTTACTCCTATCACCACAGGGCTTGACCTTTGCAAACTCACTACCACAGACACCCAAGTGAACACAGTCCTTCAGCTTACCACTACAATCATAGAATTTCAACAAAGGTACAGCACACATATCAATGGAGATCGCTGGGATAAATGATGGTCTACTAACGCAACAGAATAACAGACAATGAACAGAAAGAACAGGCACAGCAAAGATCCCAAAATACAGCTACTAAGAAGCACTGCTTAAAGGACAAAGCATTTCTTCCCAGGAGTCCACTTGGGGACACTCATGGAAGGAAGCAAGGACATCCAACTTTTAACAGTTTTCGTCTCTGGCAATGGGCATTCCAGGTGGCTTGATGTCAACTTTGCTTGGACTTCTAAACAGTTGTAAAAATAACAGTCATGCATCTAAACTGAAAACAAAAGTACCACCTACACTATTACAACTGAAGCTATTTACTTCAAAATAGCAAAATCATTAGTTTCAGAAACAAAAATATCCTGTTCCATCAGTTTAGCAGACACTTGGTGGGCATTCCTCGCACTTGGCCAATCATGTAACTTGTTCTTAGGTTTTAACACTGACACTGCTATTAAGAACAGAGGCAAAGAGGCATTTCAAAGAAGACAAATTATTTCAGCTTCAGAACCCTGACTTTCAGAGAATGTACACATGTATATATTCTGACAGAGTAGTACTGTTACTCAAATCAAGATGAAAAGTTATCAATAGAAACTCATATTTGAGAAATAAGACATGTTCTTCCATTGTCGCCAGCCACCCTCCTCCCTCTGCGGTACCTTCAGTTCTGACAGTGTGTCCTCCTCAGTGAATCTGAGCAAGAGCACCAGGGAGAACGTGAGCAGCTGGCTTGCTGCCTCTTTTGGAAATTCGTGTATGTTGATCTCCCCATGGCTTAAACGATCCCGGGTACGAGGACCCTCCTGATAGTTCAGGAAATCCCACAAGAATTCCTTTTAGAATTAACAGAGAAACATTCTGTTAGTGTTCTGGGCAGATGAAGAGTGAATGGCAGGGTTTCCAGGCAGTTCCTGGCTTGTTTATAAACTGAAGGGAAATGTGAGTCTCAAAGAGGGCACTCACACCATCCTGCAGGTGGAACTGTAGTGGGGAGCCCTTGTTCAGTACAGCCTGCCTGTGGGGGTGGAGCACCAACCACCGAGGGAAGGGAAACAAACTTCCCTAACGAAGCTTAAATCACTGCTCTCGCTTGAAGAAGCATAACCAAGCAGCTGTCTCTTGGCCACTGCTTCCCCTGCATTCATCATGGATTACTCCTGCTTCTTAAGCCAACAAAGGTGGCTGCTCCCACCTAACAGTACATGGCCAAAGTCTCTCTCTGCCAGACTATGGGGGAAAAAAGTCAGAAAACCACTGATGTGGGCAGATTGCCAATAGAGGAAGAGTCCAGGGGATGATAGATGGATGGAGATCTCTCCCCCCCCCCCCCCCCCCCCCC